CAACATTATCTAGACCAAAATAACCACTAATATAATGTTAATATATCATAATAATGCAAGTACACCCTTTAAAATGCAACAAATAAACCTTCATTTAACATTGGAATGTCCAGAACCAGAACTTCTAAATGAATAAAAATAACAAACAAAAATTAAATAAAAAAAGAATCTCACTCCCTGTTAGAAAATGTTGCACCAAAAACAATAAAAAAGACCCAAAACAATAAATACAATGGCCTATCCATTGTCAACAGCCAAAACTGCACTTCAATAATGATAAGAAATAAAAAATAATAGAGTTGTACATTTTTTAACTTTGATATATATATATATTGAGGATGGAAAAATTATTGAGATGGGCATGTGACGTGTCAAGGGGTCTTTACATAACACCCCCACCCCAAATCCGCACAAGCCTGCTGTGTCCCCCCCACTTCTGAAATCAAAATTTCGTCCCTGCTCCCTTGCCTTCTACTTAATGAATTGGTGGGTTTGATTTAGTGGCCTGTGCACAGTAGCAGTTTTAGGCACGGGCAGACAAGGCAGTTGCCCGGGGCGGCATTTTTTCATGACACAAAAGGGGCGCACAAGCCTGAGTAAAAAATAAAAAAGAAAGAAGTGTGTGCCACACCGAGGTTTTCTATTCTTTCTGTCATATCACAGAGTCTGGATTGGAAACAGCAAGTTGGCGCCCCCTGCAGCTGCAGGCACTCCTGCTGACTGAGAGGGTTCAGGCAGCGGTGGGCAGTCAGGGCCAGCAAAGCCTTCTCTGCTGGCCTAAACATACTCAAAAGCGTAAATGTATTTTTTTTCCTTTGGTAATTATTTAAAAAAAAATGTTTACTGGTCTATTTTCTTTATATCCTATTATACCCACTTGGCTGCGCTGCTTCCAGTGTTAAAATACCAAGGCTGGGTGTTATCCAATCAGATTTAAGCTAGCTTGTGTTTTCAGGCAGATTAGTCTGCCCTAGGCCTTCAGAATCAATCGAGAAGCCCACTGTCCGCTCTAAGTGAACAGAGACGATCCTGTTGCGATAGCCAATCAGCTCACGAGTCAGCGTGGCTCAGGCCAGCTAGCTGGCCTCACGCAAAAGTTGACATGAACGCATCCTGTGATTGGATAAGCAGTAGTTAGAACTTTTCTAGCAGCATTAAGCAAAATATCAAAACTAAACACAGAGATTTGTACCTATAGGCAGCTATCGGTGTATTTTTGAACACATGATGGCTGAAAGAGGAGAAGAGACAGACTTGGTTGCAGATTAACTTGCCACACCATTTTCAAGACGGACCTTTCAAGAAAAAATGGATCTTTTGAGAACAGATCATCGAACTCCAATGCTAGCTGGCTTGTCCCAGCAGGAGAAAGGATTTGTTCGTCGTTTTCAGGCAAGCAACTATGAACAGTACCCATGGCTAACAGCTTCAGAGAACCGCTGCAGGTTATTCTGCTGGGAATGCCTGTTGCTCGCATCAGATGGATTTGGTAGCATTAAAGCGCGTTAAAACGTACTCCAGAAACACGACCGGGCAGACACGTCTTTCAGCATTAGCCTCCATGTCCATAGAAAAGGACCTACTCATGGACCTGAAGTGCACAGATAAACTGTACAGAGCCATTGAGGTTTTCCTGAGGAAAGAAAGAAGGATGGATTTTATTTTCTAATGAGCAGGAGAGGAGGAGATCCATGCTGGACATTTATGTTGGTGAGTAGAAACATTTTATTAGTATTTTTTTAATGTTTTGTCATTTTATTTTGTTAATAAAAAAATAAATGGTAACGAAATAAAATGGCAAAATGAAATTATTCTCTGTTCTGTTATATGCAATTTATATTGTGTTTGACGTGGTGTGTGCAGCTGCGCCAATGTTCAATTGTTTCGCGGTACAATTTTCTCCAAAACAAATGCAAATAATGTGTTTGCTTTGCTTATTTCTTTTATTGTCTCATCTCTTAAACCCGTCTTTCATTTCTGAGATTTGACGGTATCCGTGGTCAGCTTCCTACTCTCAACTGGGAATGCGAGTTTGATTTTAAAGACTCTGGAAATTATGTGTCTCGACCAGCCACTGGTGTGTGTGTGTGTGTGTGTGTGTGTGTGTGTGTGTGTGTGTGTGTGTGTGTGTGTGTGTGTGTGTGTGTGTGTGTGTGTGTGTGTGTGTGTGTGTGTGTGTGTGAGGTTTCTCCAGCTGTGATGTCCTATTGATGGTATTTTAAGGTGTATTAAATTAGATTGGACTGAATAGGAAATCACTGAAGGCCCAGGGGTGGAACGCACCGCCCGCCACTGGGTTCAGGTGCACCGTGCGTGTATGAAGAAGAGGAAGGGGAGGGGTGCGGCGGGGGAATTCACCTCTGGGTATTTCCCAAATGAAATGAGCAGGTAGAGGCTGAATCAACTGTATTAACATGGCTAAAGTCAATCACATCTTGATGTTCTTCCATTTAACGCACATTTCATTCATAATATCATAAACACAGGCCTATCATTCTTTCAGGATTTTCTGAATTGTGTGAAATGGCCAAATAAAAAAAGGAAAAACAAAAGGATTTTGTGGTCAAACACCCCCCCCCCCCCCCCCCCCATGAAGGTCAAGTTGTTTAGTCCTGACTAAAGGAAACTTATTGAGTCAAGAGCCAAACAAAAGAGATGAACATAAAAGGGCTAAAACCACCAGGTGCCCGATTCAGGAAAAAAAAAAAGGAAAAAAGAGGAGAAAGATAAAGGTATGTACGCTCTCATGATTTCAGATTTCAGATTTATTGGCCAAGTAAAATTACATTTACAAGGAATTTGTCTTCGGTAGATGTTCGCTCTCTAAAACATACAACAACCACAATAAATGAGAATAAAAATACATAAAAACACATAAGAACATGTGTACCCACACACATGTTCATTTACACACACACCTATATACATATATACATACCCACACACACACGCACACACACACACACACACACACACACACACACACACACACATGATGCATGTTTTCAATTTTTTGAACCAGTTAACTGGGATTTTAACGGTTAAATTCGGTCAACTAATTGCTAACAGAGCTAATAGGGCTGAAATATTGAAACACATATTCAAATGATTGGAAAAAATTCCTTGAATCGTGTTTTACTGATTCAAACTAGGATTTGTTAAATGCTCGCTGTGGCCTGCCTGAACAACAACAAACACATGTTGATCATGTTCACATAATAATAAATAAAACAACTCTACAAGCAGAAGAAAACTCCCCAGTCACCACTAACTATCCTGTTTATTTATTGCAGATGGCTGCACTGATTATTTTTTACATGATTTGTTCAGTAAAAGTTGGCATTTTTGGTAGTCTACAGTTTATTTTTATGCCAGTTTAAATTACAATTTCAGAGGCAATTCTAAAATATTATGGATCATGATAAAGATCTATTGGAGATCTACCCCAACTTTTGGACTGCTCTGCCAGTCACTGTGGCTCAAGCTGAGCGGAGCTTTTCAAAACTTGATCAAGTCATACCTGAGGTCAGCTATGTTTCAGGGGCAGCTCACTAACCTGGCTCTGATTAGTATCAATCACTCAGTAGAGGAGCAATTTCATATGATGACATTATTGATGACTTTGCATCAAGGTTAGGTTTTAATTTTAGTTTGTGTTTTCTGTTCTAAGTGCAATGCTGTAGTGATTATCTTTAGTTTGTTATGTGTGAAATATTTTTGCTATTTAGAATATTTATTATATATTATGCTCATATATTCTTAATATTTAGTTATTGTTTGTTTTTGTATATATATATTTTGATACAGTATATAATGTATATTGCTTTACATTCTGACAACTTCATAGTAATTAATGTCAATATGTGCAACTTAGAAAAATGAATGTTCAATAGTCGTTCTAATAAATTATGCCTGTTTGTAGAAAACATGTGTGTGTGTGTGTGTGTGTGTGCGGGTGGGGTGGTGGTGGGGGGGTGGGGGGGGGCACTCAAAGGGGGCCTCGCCCGGGGAGTAATTCCATGTAGAACTGCCACTGCCTGTGCAAGTTTATTTTTTTAACGCGTAAAGCTTCTTTGTGTATTCACTTTTGTAAATAGGAAACGCTCAGTGGAGGTCGGGGACATAAATCAAATCTAGATAATTCCTGAAAGCTGATGAGTGACTTCCACAGACATGTGTGCATACGTGCGTGTGTGTGTGTGTGAGAGAGAGAACACATTTAGCAGACATCTGAACGCTATTTGACTTAATATAGTGGATCAACTCAAAACTTTTAGTTATGAAATGAGTTCTAAGTGTTTTTCTCCAACCTGAATTGATAAATATTTTCTGATTTAAACATAATTTTGCTTTGTGAGCAAGTCCAGAGCTGAAAGTCAGCCATAAACCATCTGCTCTCTGAAAACTGTGAAATAATCTCTGTTCTGTCTTCTCATTTGAAAACATTTGATTTACCACTTATTTGACATCTAGAAAACACTTGAAAATTGTTTACCAGACTCAATCATTATAGCTTTATGATAAAAATAAAACGATCATTTCCCTGCTATGGTTACCTCATTGTTTATACTGGTACGAACAACTCAAAAGAATCAAAAGCAGAAGAACATCCCTCATGTTAGTAGGAGGTTTAATTGCACAAATCCACCCAATGTCCTTGAATGGCTGTAAGAGGACAAAGCAAATGGAAATAGGACAGAAAACACGAAGCTTATTGTAATATTTCGATACGAGCAGCACACATCAATAAAATGTGTTTATAAGGGAGATGGAGAGAAGTGATGCCTGGCTGCAGAGGATGAGAGTGGTTGGTAATAACATGAAAAAAACAGGTTCTGTTTACAACAAAAAAACAGAAACGAGAAAGAACCAGCAGGGATGGAGAGAGGAGGAGTGGAGACTGTTGTATGGGATTAATGGACAACACTGTGAGGGATGGTGGGAGGAGGGGTGGCGATGGCTGGGGGAGACCACTGAGGCGGGGGTGGGGGGGGGAGGAAAGATCAGGAGGGAGGGAAGCTGGTGAAGCCACGGATATTCATGAGAACGGAGAGTGTGTGTGTTTTTTTCTCTCTCCTCTCACTGTGGTGATACACTGCAATGTCTCCAGACAGACGGGCAGAGCAGGAGCAGAGAAGACAGGAGGAGACAAGTGGAAACAAGACGGAGCCCAGCCCATCTTGCCATTGATCTTCAGGCGATCAAGGTGAGTATGTTTTTATTCTTGCATCCTGCAGAGTGTGTGTGTGTGTCTGTATGTGTGTGTGAAAATGTGTGTGCACGTGTGGCTGTCTGACATACACACGCCTCTTGCTCTTGCAGTGCATGCAGACGGGCATGATAGCAGCAGGGCAGTCCTTGTTTGGATTGTTTGTGTATGATTTTTTTCCATTTGGGTGTTTTGTAACAGAACAGCAGGTTGGCTGCTCAGATGCATGTTGATGCGCTGCTGCTGCTGCTCCATCTGAGGTCGAGGTGGTGCTGGTGGCAGCCATGGTGTGCATATGTGCACGATTTGCTTGTTGTCTGTCCGTATATATGTCACTGTGTCACTGTGCATTTGTTGATTTCTCCTCGCAGACCTGCTCTTAACCCTCTGCTGTGAGAGTCCTTTCATTCATTGTGAGGGTGTGTTCTCTTTGACCCTGGAAAAAGTCATTTCCTCTGCTATCTGTCTTTGTAGCACTTCAATCAGAAACACTCTGATATGCTGAATCTGCCCCATCCAATGGAATTAGGTCAACTCGGATTGCTCAGAGTAATTATATAACATCACAGAGCTTTGGTGTTACAAGATCTGCTCAGAATTCAACACAGTGTAGGTGCTGCTCCTGCAGGACCAAAGGATCTTGTTGGGTGTACCATCCTGCTAACTGAATATGTAGCTGCATAAGCATTCATAAATGTTTTTCCCCATGCATGAGATTTCTAGTGTGGAAAAAAGTCAACATTTGCTTTTCAAATTGCCCATCTACATGTTGAGCCCTGCATATGTGAGGAAGAGTCATCTTGCTTTGTGTTATGTAAAATGTATTCACTACCTGAAAGCAGGACAGCAAGTTGTAAAAGCAAGAAAAGAAAATGGTTTCATATTATTGAATTTCTTGTCTTATTAACCCTCATTTCCTGTTTTTCTAAAGGGAGACACGCTCAAGCATGCCTGCATATCAAATCAGGAGTTGTGGCATTTAGACTTCCCAAATGAAGCAGCAATGTCCTGAAAGAGCTTCCAGGCAGAGGTTGGATACAAGTGACCCTTCTCATGGTGGAAAAGCGACCTGAAGTGAAGAAGAGGCCAGATACTACATGTTTTTTGGATCCTGCACTGTTGGAAATTTATTTTTTGGGGGGATTACCATTTGGAAACCATCATGTAAAAAGACATGCAAGATGGATTCCTATTTCATGGAATTTGGGGAAATACTTCCTTTTGTGTAGCATCATCATGAACTTTAAAAGGGAGATCCCAGAGGCTTGTCTGACCAAAGGAGAGATGGGGATTGTTTTCTGATTTGTTTTTCCCATCCACCTTTTAACTTTTGGCAATATAAACATCTTGCAACAACACATCACTATCATCTGACTGTGGAGTCTCTGAGGGTCACATAAATGCTCCGTCAGTGTTTTACGTAGGTGGGACATCTGAGTTCGTCCGTCTGACGGGTCAAGGGCGCTGTTGGCTGGCTGAGTCAGCGCCAATGGGGGCCGGTTTTGACCTGGTCTGACCCCAGTTTGAGCTTGCAGTGACCTTTGACCTCTCCGGTCCTGGCTCTCCACCTGCTCTGCTGCCTGGGTTCCGGAACGCTCCGCCCTGGGGCCCAGAACGAGCCAATCAGAATGAAGAAGAGCCGCAGCGTGCTGTCGGTGACTGGAGAAGAGGTGAGAGGGAGATAATAGATAAACAAAAATAAAACAACAACTAACAAACACAGAGAGAAGATTCAGACTGGCGGAGCAGCCTGTGTGTGTGTGTGTGTGTGTGTGTGTGTGTGTGTGTGTGACATACAAGCTGCTTGACTTTCACACATCCAAGCTCCCTTTGTTCCTGCCACCGGGGTCTGTGTGCTCACTCAGAAGTCCCAGTGGACAGTAAGTATCCTGGAGGCCTACATTCACCCATCACCAACCACATGTACCACAGTGTAAACCTCTCCCCAATATAAACGAGCCGTTTTCTGTTAAAGGTGACGTCTTGGCTGAAGAACATGACATAGTGCATTATTCAGGCTCTCTGTCATTGATTATGCTAAGCAGGTGTCCGTGAGAATCTTGGTGTGTGCGTGTACTGTACGTGCGTGTGGCTGTGAGTGTCTATCCGCATCTGGGTCCGGACAACATCAAACGCAGCATGGAAGCAACACGGCACTGTTGCCTAGCAACTGCTACCATTCCCCCAGTGTTTTGTTGCTACGGTGCTGCAGTGCAGCTCAGCCTCTTAGAGCTCAGCCTGTAGAGGCCCTCTCTCTCCCTCACACACACATGCATATGCTCAGTCACACGTGCGCGCGCGCACACACACACACACACACACACACACACACACATACATTAATAATTTATACATTCAGAAGTTTTCTCACTTTCAGTGAGATTTCAGAATCAGCTCATATTCATGTCTTCATGCCACAATGACAACCACGGTGAAGAAGTCTTCTGTTTTTACTAATCAGGCGTTTTCTTTAGGATACCTTCTGTGTTGTTCCTGTTTCCTTCACCTTCTGGCCTGTCTCACAGGGTAATGACTTAGAAGTAACAGATGTTGTGGAAAAGGCGGAGTCATCTCGCTACAGCCGATCGTACACATCTGGGGCCACGCTGGGGGCCGAGCTACGCAGAGGGAGGAGCAGAAGACTCTCGCCCAGTCTCCAGGTATTCACAGAAAGCACCGGCACATTAGCATGCTCGGAGTTTGCTGGGTTTAGAGCTTGTCCTTTCTGATTTGGAAACTGTCATCTCAAGTGTATTTAGGAGCCATGTTGTAACCATATATTAAATGGGAGTAAAGCTTTAGACACATTAACCTTTTAATCAGGCCCGGATGTAGGCATGGGCAAGGAGGGGCAATGCCCCCCTAAAAATAGTGACTGCCCCCCCCCAATGCGATAACATGTAGAAATCCCAAATTTGAAAAGATCTGATGAAAAAGGGTCAGAGTGCTCTCCTCTCTCTCTCTCTCTCTCCCTCTTTCTATCCCTCATTCAAAGTAGCTGCTGATTGGTAGATGCATAGGGAGGGTGTGGCCAGCCACTGCACTTCGTTCTCTGTGTCTCAGTTGCTTCACACGCTCCCAGCAGACAGTCAGCAGCAGAACACAAAGACGCACCGTTGTTATCTGAGCTCAGCCACTGGTTGAAGTTTTCTTCTCCTGTTGATCACTGGAATTATTTGGTACTCTTTCTCAAGGTTTTAGTTTGCCTCGTTCTCTTCTTTAATTTGTTCTTGAAGTGAGCCGAGTTGGCATGCGCAGGTTTCTGGTTTCTAAACCTAGCTACAGTGCTAAGGCACTAGTGGCAGAAGTTGGCTCGTCGGGTGCTGCTTTTCAACTCGCCACAACCAGTTGCACAAGCACCGCAGCCCCTCCTGCTGTCCCCGTCGATACCAACCCAGCCGTCGCTGTGGGTGACACCGGCCTGAACAGTAGCGCACCGTCCCAACCCACCGCTCTTGATTTCCCCAAGCGCCATTTTGGGAAGGACATGCGCTCATTTTGCCCTGCCTGGTATCGTGGGAGACCATGGCTGGAATATTCAGTAAAGCTGGATGCGTGCTTTTGATTCCCATGTCACAATTTTATATATATACTGCCCTTAGGAGCCATTTTCAGAAAGCACGCTGTCTCATACCATCTTTATGCTGACGACTGTCAAATCTATTTTTCATTTAAGCCAACTCTATCAACGAAAGTTCTGTCTGCTTGTATCCTTGAGGTCAATCAATGGCTAGCTGATAACTTCCTCCATCTTAATGACTCCAAAACTGACTTAATCATTTTCAGTCCTTACAGTACCACGGCGACTCATCAACCTGACCTCAACTATCTCTCACCTAATGTATCCTCTGTAATCTCCAACCTTGGAGTAAAAATGGACCAGGCTCTGAAGATGGATGCCCAGGTCAATAACACAGTTAAATGTTTTTACCAACTAAGACGCATCTCGAAATTAAAGCACATCCTGAGTGTCTGTCTTCTGAAATCCGTGGTCCACACTTTCATCACTTCAAGGCTGGATTACTCTAACTCCTGCTTATATGGCATCAGTAAAGCAGCTCTTTCCAGACTTCAGCTGGTCCAGAATTCTGCAGCTAGGTTGCTGACTGGAGCTGACAGAAGACAACACATTTCACCAATTCTGAAATCTCTCCACTGGTTGCCCGTGCAGTTCAGGATAAATTTCAAAATCATGCTTCTGACTTACAAATCCTTGAACCATCAAGCTCTTCCATATCTGTGTGAACTTGTCCATTACTACAACCCGCCGCGTGCTCTCAGGTCTGAAGATAAGCTTCTCCTAACTGTTCCGAATGCACGTTTAAAAAGCCGTGGAGAAAGGGCTTTCTCTGTCTGTGCACCCAAGCTGTGGAACACATTACCGCTGCTAGTGAGGCAAGCACCAACAGCTAGCATTTTTAAATCACGCTTGAAAACTCACTACTTCAACCTAGCTTATACCACATAATTATGAACCTCACTGACATCTGCACTGTTTAAAAATGGACTCCACAATTATCGACTTCCGTACTATTGAGGTTCTTTTTTAAAATGTTTTTCTAATTTTTTATTCTCCCTGTGTTTTATTGATTTTTAGCTGTTAGTTTTGGGAATTTTGTTGTATTTCCTTTTTATCTTCTATCTGTGTTCGACATGTTTGTATAACGCCGGTTTAATTAACATTTTTAGTGTACAGCGCCTTGTTTGGTTGTAATGCCTTGTGAATGCGCTTTATAAATAAAATTGGATTGGATTGGAAATTTGGGGGGAACAGTGATAGGGATTTGGCTTTCACAAAACAAGGATTTATTAACTGGAAAACAGCACTGGAAAAGGACAAGGGATTCACAAAGCATGCATCAAGTCAATGCCACATAAAAAATGAAAAAGCCTGGTCTGAAATGTCCCAAAGAGTGGCCACAGGGTAAACCATAGGTAATTTAAGTCCCACACAAATCGAAAAAAACAGATACTACGTAAAAACTATTGGAGAAGTAGTTCAGTTCCCAGCAGTAAATGAACTGCCACTTCATGGAAGTGTGGAAAGTAGTGATGATTTCTCTGCAGGACTGTTGTTAAAAATGGTCGACTACACACTGGCCAAAGACTCCAAATTTTATGAAATAAACAAACGTCCCAGAAAATGCAAAATACACATCTCACAACATACAGAACGAAATTATTGCAACACTGGCAAAAATGGTATTAAAAAAGATCAAAGATAATTGTGACAAAGCAGATTATGCTGGTTTTGCATTAAAAGTGATGGAACTGGGAACAGATGTGTCAGTCATGGTTAGATTTGTCTGTAATGGCTGTAGCGGCCCACTTGGAATAACCACGCAAGATGCAGAGAGCTTCGACTGGTGCAACTTTAATCCTCTCCTTCTTTCACCTCGCATTATGACACCGTGAAAAATATATGAACAGAAAATACAAATATCACAGTACTATAATATTTCCACAAATAATGCATAGAAATCATGTTTACATTTTAAACTTAACACAAACAATTTTAGTAAACAAATAATGAATTTTACATGAAAGTAGCCGTTTTTAGCCGTTATAAGTTGTAGTTCTTATTTAAATAAAATGACAGTTTCCTTCCATTTGAAATCAAATGAACAACTCGTGAAATCAAATAAACAACTCGTTTCACACTGAATACACCATCAGTCTCCCCCTACCTCCTTCTGCTTCCAAGGGCGCTAAGTTTGAGCTCAGCCCAGCCTATCTTCCACACTTCACTGCGATGTCCCTTAAACATGACATACAAACGGCACAAATATGAAGCGAACCACTGTAAAATACCCTTTCACAAGTTTCCATGTAGAATATGACAAATAAATAACATATTTGCATGTTTTACCAACTCTGGAGCAACACGAGCATGTCGTTATGATGAGCCGGGAGCAGAACGTTTAACGTATACAACAGCAAGTAGTAGAAGAACAGGAAGTAGTAGAAGAAGAGGGGGTGCTCTTCAAAATAAAGGCACAAAACGTAAAGTGACAGAACTGCATTGTTTACCACGAACATCATTTGCTGCCATTTACACTCCCACCAAATCCTACTACAATGAACGAACGAGTACACAAAGAGCAAGTGAATTGTATAGGATTTCTTGACTCTAATAAATGAAAACCTTAAGTTGAACTATCAGAAGTATGTAGCTGAACTGTACAACATACACAATGAAGTCGTGTGCACACAAACAGTTGTTACTGTCTGTTCTACTCTGACAATGCCATGAAAGTCATGTGGGTGGTAACATCTCGGAACTGAGACCTTCTTTAACTTGAGAAGACCGTTCATCCATTCCTCCCACCGTGGCTTCACATCTTCTGGGAGTGGGGCATCCCATCCGATGCCTCTGTGACAAAGCTCTTGAAGGATATGTTTTCCACTTAGGCTGAAAGGAGCGATGAATCCAAGTGGATTGTAGAGAGAGGCGATGACAGATAGACAACCACGACGAGTTGAAGGCTGATCTTTGAAGCTGATGTTAAAGCTGAAAGTGTCATCTTTTATCGACCATTGAATGCCAAGCGCACGTTCTGATGGGGTTGGATCAAACCCTAGAGGCTCAATCTTTGCTGCTCTTTCAGAAGGGTCCAAGCAAGAGAGCGCTGCTTCTTCATTCGAGTTGAATTTGTGAAGGCGCAAGCCTCCCTTTTTGCACAACTCTTGTGACTCAGAGATCAGTTTCTTGGCTTCATCAATTGATGGGATGCTGACTAACCCATCGTCAACATAAAAGTTTTTCTCCATGAATGTTGATGCTAGAGGATAGCTAGCTTTGTGTTGTCGTGCTAGATGCTTTATGCCAAAATTGGTACATCCAGGGGACGAAGCAGCTCCGAAAAGATGAACCGCCATCCTGTACTCCTGTGGTTCCTTCTCCAAATCTCCACCTTTCCACCAGAGGAACTTCAGATAATTCCTGTATTCAGGAGTGACAGAGAATTGATAAAACTTTCTCTCAATATCACAGATGATGGCTACAGCTTCCTTTCTGAATCTGCAAAGTACTCCTACCAGAGGATTGATTAGATCAGGCCCAGTTAGTAGAGTGTCGTTCAGCGAAACACCCTGGAATTTGGCCAAACAGTCAAAAACGACTCTCAATTTATCCGGTTTTCTGGGGTGGTAGATGCCATGATGTGGAAGATACCACTCTGTCTCTCTCTCAGATGTTGTGGGGGCAGGCTCTGCATCACCCTTGTTAATCGTTTCTTCCATGAATGCTTTGTACTGATCATAGTATTGTTTGTTGGCCTTTAATTTCTTCTTAAGACACTGTAAGCGAACTGTGGCTAGCCTCTTGTTGTTTGGTAGGTTGGGCAGACTGTTGCCTTTAAAAGGGAGAGGCATTTCATAATCTCCATCTTCCTTCTGTGTGATGTGGTTACTGAGGAACTGTGTGAAATGAAAATCATCCTGGGACACATATTTATCCTCATGAGTTCTCTCAATGAAGTCTGATTCCAGGGCCTTTAGAACATCTGTCGCTGATGGAACTGGCAGTTCTTTTACTGTTAGCCGATGCACAAAGCTTTGACCTCCTTGTCTGTCTAGGTGGGGGTTTGATGAGCCTATTATACTCCATCCTAGTTCTGATCTCTGTGCGAACGGTTGGGCTTTGTCCCCTAAGATAACT